GCTTGCAAACTTTTGCTATCGGAAGATCGTGGCGGAAAGCAACCACTTCCCCTGCAAGTTGGACACGAACGGCTTTTAATTGCATTTGTGACTACACCTGGCACAGATTAGCCCTGACGGGCCGCCGCCACCGCCTAAAACGCCGAAGGTGGCGCGCGGCGCGAGCCGCAAAAAAACAAAACAAAAAAAAAAAAATGACAATTGAGAGAGTAGCGACGTTTGGCTCGCCCCCTCATTACATTTGATCCGATTGGCCTCTGCCCTGCCATGTCCCTCTACATTCGTCGGTGCCTGCACCAGAAAGTACACCAAATGGTAATCTGAGCGGCTTTTCTCTGAGTGATCCCTGCCCGAGGCAATGCAGAGATTACTGCTGCATCAGTAGATTGCAAACTGTTTCGAGAACAGGTCCATCGCAGTTTGTTTCGAGAGCGACTTTGATCCGGGCCATGGAGCTGGCCATAGCTGGCCATGGAGCTGGCCATGGAGCTGGCCATGGAGCGGGCGCCCCACTGATCCAAACACCCTCCGATGTCGATCAAGGCATGGCTGCGGGAGTTTTCCCACAGAAAAAATCCCGAACCTGTTAATTTGCTCTGATAATGCTTGTTTGCCTTTCAATAATTTATCAACAATTTAACGCAAAAATAGAGTAATTACTAGAAATAAAACCAACAGGACAAAGAAAATTTCTGCGAAAGAGGGCACCCCGGCGAGCCGGCCCTCTTCCCCGCTGGCTTGGTGGACCAGTGGTTCCCCCATCTCATCACAGGAGCAACCTCAGAGTTAAACCGCAGTGGCCCCGTCATTGGTCACGTCATCTGTGATGTGGAGGAGTCCTCTCATAGTAGGCCAGGCTGCCACCTTTCCCAGTAGTCGGGTTTCGATCCCCGGCCCCCTTCCCACTCAGGGGCCATGCTACTGGTACTCAGGAGTCTGCGTCACCCTGCCCAGCAGCGGAACCACTGGGCTATGAGAGGCACGCTGGCCGCCGGCCGATTTTGTATACTTGAACCGCCTTCGTCCGACGCAAGCTTAGTAAAAACATTCTCGACCGAACGGGTTTCGAACCTCGTACTCCAATGTCGGGACCCGACGCCTCTCTGCTCTCGGCCACCATGCCTCATATGATCGTGTCGGTGGAACGAATTGCTTGAAGCTATGGCTTCGTTTCGCAATGGCAGAGCCAGTAAAAATGTGCGAGTGCTGGGTTTCGATCGCCCGACCCGGGCGTCGATGACGGACGCCTTTGCGCACTCAGCCACCGAGGTCTGTAGGCCGAGCTGGGTGAGGCAACGGGTTTGACCCGTAGTGGGATAGCCGCAAGACATAGGCATTCGCTCGGACGCAAGCACGGCACCCTTGGCCCTCCAGGCGAAGGGACTCGCCAGCACCCCGAACGTTTGACGTGCCCTCCGCGGTGGGGCGCGCACGATGGGCCAGAACGAGCAACCTGATCGCCTCGTTTGGAGCGTTTGGAATCGACAGGCGGGAATTATCATGCGTCCGGCCCGGGCGGGTGGCGAGCGCCATCAGTCCCTCTCAGCCGCAGCGCCTTCCAGCGCCTTCCAGGCAGTCGTGCCGGACGCAGCACACGGCCGCGCCGCGACCGCGTGGTGGCAGTGCCGAACCGGGGCGGTCCTCCACGGCCGGGCAGCCCTCTGGGGACGCGACGCGCACCGTGATGCTGACCATGCGGCGCCGCTGGCGGGGAGGACGCGGCCGAGGCCTCGCGCATGGACAAGCTACTGCCGGGGCACTGGGGGACCCGCGCCGGTTCAGCGGATTGACTTCCGTGAGTTCAGCGTCGCGGCGGTGGCCGCGGCCCCGACGGTGGCGTGGTTGGTGGCGTCTGGCGTCGCTGGAGGCGTCGCTGGTGGCGTCGCTGGAGGCGTCGCTGGAGGCGTCGCTGGTGGCGTCGCTGGAGGCGTCGCTGGAGGCGTCGCTGGTGGCGTCGCTGGAGGCGTCGCTGGAGGCGTCGCTGGTGGCGTCGCTGGAGGCGTCGCTGGAGGCGTCGCTGGTGGTGGCAAGAGAACCAAGGCAAGCAGATAGGTCCCATAAAGGAAGGGCAAGGAGAAAAATAAAGCAGCCTTATACCTCGGCCGTGCCCTACGGAGCCCCGCCGTGCCCCACGGTGCCCTGGCGGCCCTCCGAGCCTGCGGAGCCCTGGCCCTGCCTGGCCCAGCCCTCCCGTCGCGTAATATGGGCGACCCCCATCCCCGCGTCTTTCCAGCCCCGAAAGCCTTTCCCAGGCCCCGGTGAGCCAGCAGCCTCGCCAGCCCTGCGGTCCCGCGTGGATCCACGCCGATGGCAGGCCACGCCTTTCCAAAAAAAAAACAAAAACAAAAAATCGGCAGCAAAAACAAGGCACTGACAGACCCCGCACCTTCCCCTCTATTTCTAGCATGGAAGAAGCTAATTTTGGGGCAGCCAACGTTGCGACGCACCCCTGTCAATACGCCGAGGTGAGGCCCGTAATCGTGAATTATGAGTGTAGACGACGCTCTGAGGTCTGGTTGGAGAGGCGGGGCGGGGCGGCGGGGCCTGCCACGCTAATGCCTCCCGGAGATACCGCGGCGTAGTGCTAACTGGCGTGCATATATTCCGAGGCCCCGCCACGGTTATGGGGTTGCGGGGCGCGGGAAGGCGCGGCCCGAGCCGCCCCCAAGGCCGAGCCGTTCCCAGGAAGGCCCAAAGTTTCACACATTCATCCGCCATGGTTATTTAAGAATATGCTTTTTTTTCCCCCGAAGCCGGCGGCCGGCCCGCGGCGTGCGCCATAACCATTTTGGGCGGCGTAAAAGGCCTCGCGCTACTTCAAGTACGTCGTGTTCCAGCCCGGCCCAGATAAAGTACCGCACGCATGCACGCACGCGCGCGCACACGCACCCATTCACCAGCCGCACATTTTAATTTGTTTCCGAGTCACCTTCAGCAGATGCCTCGTATCGTGTAGACTTCCAAAAAATGCAATGTGGTTCGCAATGGCAAAAAGGATGAAGATGAAAAAATTCCAATGCTAATCGCATTGCACGGTGTTCCCGTTTCCATAACTGGTTTAAAAGTAAGATATAAACAAATGTGTAGAAATTGTGGTGACAAGACAACCGCAGCCTTTGAGAGCATGCCAAACAATCCAACTTCAGCAACAATGGAGGGGCAGTTTCAATGGGCGCCTGTTCGTTCTTTCAGCCTCGCGATTTTCGAAAGGGCGCAGACGGCAAGCAAATTGGTGCCAACCCACGAAAATTAATTTGATGTGTCGTTTCTGCTACGAACTGTTTACTAGTGACAGACTTTAAAGATGTTCCAACGTTGAGACACCGTGCAATGCGTTAGCATTAGCATTTTCGAATTTCACGGGGTTTAGATTTCTTTTAATGGGGTATTTTAAATTTTGACGGGTGGCACGATGGGACCATGCCGTTGCCATGGAGATTGTTTTTTCATGTTTTAAGTATTTGTTCAGAACACAGGCGATTTCTTGTTACTTTGATGAGCCAGGAGGTTTAGTTTTGAGGAGTGGTACATTTCTTATTTGAACCATTTTTTCATATCATGAACGGTTCTCGTTTTCGATTGTTGCAAATTTATGTTTTTCGCGTTTACGGAAAATTTCCACGATGAATTTTCGAAAAAATTTGGAATTTTCGTTTTTTTTATGGTTGAAATAGTTTAGCGTTGTTTATTTGAAAATCGAAGAGGGGGGGGGGAAGGAATCCACGGACCTCGGACAATAGGGGTTCTTGGGAACCCCTAAAAAGGATTGGCTTTCGGGGATGGTAAAGCTACTGTATAGTTTTATTGCGTTTTTGTGCTGTATTCCGGAGGAATGAAAATCAGCACAGCGGGCAAACGGGACGGCATTCCCGAAATAAACTGTGCTCGGCGAAATACCATTTGAAAAGTCCGTGGGAAGAATGAATGCCGGGCGGGGTCAACTCTGTGAGTGTGCGAGAGAGAGAGAAAGAGGTAGAGTGCGGGCGGGCGGGCGTATGGGGGAAAAGAAGCCGAGGGGCTATACATATGCAGGCGGCTGGACTGCGTTGTTGCAAGCTCCCGCGGCTAAGAGGTTGCTTTAAGCTGAATTAATGTGGCTTAAGGTAGGGCCTCCCAAACGGCACCCTAGGGCGCGGTGCGGGGCGAGCGCGGTGGCCAGGCGCAGTCAGCGGGGCTAGGGGGCCAGTCCCCGCCGCCCGCCCCCACCCCCTTCGGGACGGCCCCCCAGCTCTTCCCTAATAACATGTATGCGTAAATTTGGAGGCCGGGGGCCGCCGCCGCCACGCCGCCGCGCTCGGGCTGCGGGCGGAAGGGACACAGACTCTCCAGTGGAGCTGCGGCGGGGTGCGGCGCGGTGCGGTGCGGCGTCCTGACCTGTGAGCCACCCGAAACTACTTACTGCAACTGCGGCGTGCCCCGGATTTTGTGAGTGCCATACCCCTGAGTGTGCGAGAGGGACGGAGAGTGTGTGTACGCGACGCGACCGACCCGGCGCTAAACAACGACACGCTGTAATGATAACACCTGCCCTGCATGCCGCCTGCATGCCGCCTGCATGCGAAGCGAACGCACTCTGCCGAGGCGCGAGCCACCCCATCCACGAAGCCCCGGCCGGAAGTACGCCATCCTACACCGCGTTTCCGGTGGCCAGAGCAGAGCGACTCGGTCCAAGCGTTATGCCGGCCGCTGCACGCACACATGCACACAGCGACACACCCACACTCACACACACTAGCTCGCAAAAAGTAAAGTAAATGATGAGTCGGCCGCCGGGGAGCTTTACTGGCAATGAAACGGCGCGACACACCTAACCTCCGCGCCAGAGCGCAGCGTGCGCGTAGGTGGGCCGAGCGGCGACCACTGCGGCGTGGCAGCGCGGCGCACTGCCAGGCCGTATAAATTTGACGACGGACTGGCGCGCCGTGGCGAGCTCGGTCCGGCTCACCGACCGAATCCCTGCAACCGGCGGCAACGGGCAGGCCGGGGGGGGAGGCACTTACACATGACGTTGAGCGCCACCAGGTTGCTGGTGCCGTCGCCCTCCACGTTGGACGCCACGCACGAGTAGTTGCCGGCCTGCGTGCGCGAGATGCGCTGGTACGCCAGGTTCTGCGTGATGAGGATCACGCCGGCGCGCGTGTTGCCCTGGATGGGGACGCCCTGCAACAGACAGACGGACGGACATGAGCGCAGAGGTGGAACGCGGCCAGCCACATGTGGACACGTTTTCACTTGGCTCGCACAACACAATCTTGCGAAGGTAGAGAGAAACACCGAACTGAACAGCGTTGACATTGACAAACCCGTCCAAGCAGCACAAACAAACAGCTGTTTTTGCACGCGTGATTGCGGCACATGCAGACACACACACAAACACACCTATAGACACACGCACGCACATATACACACAACTTAACGCAAACAGCCGGTAAACAGAAGCACAGCCGCCGAGCTGCGGCGCAGCGGCCGAGGAACAATGCCACTGAATTGCGCGGCGTGGATACACTGGGATACACCGGGTATACACTGTCCACAAACTGGATTCAAGTGTGAATTGAATGGGCGGGAGCATCTACGCGACGAACAGTACAGACCGCTACACACGGACACACTTCTGGAAACGGTTCGTGGCCTGTGCAGCCCAAGAGCTTTTTCTTGATAAGAAAAACGAAAAGCTGAGAAAAGGACACTCATCGTCTACGCCACCCCTATCTTGTCCTGACTCTGACTCTCTCGCCGGCTCGCTCGTCATCAAACGAAGATCCGGCCAATTAATGAGTCTGCAAGTGCCTCTCCGCCCGGATGCACACCAAATAGAGAGTTTCGGCAGAGGGAAAAAGCCTCTCCGCTGCACGGGGGACTCCACCTTGCAAAAGCATGACGCAAACATCTCATTTTTTTTTGTGTTTTTTTTTTCAAGTATACTAGAACTTTTTTTGATAAATCGCTAATTTTCCTACCGAATGAAACTGCACTTTTGCGTCCACGCAGTCGAAATAATGAACGAAACTGGGCTCCATGCGTGCGCGCAGCATGCCACGGCGGAGGCGGGCGGCGAGTGTTTAATCAACGAATCAGTACGCTACAGCACAACATCCACCCCCACCCCACCCCCCGGGCTCGGCGACAACTCCTCTACTTACGTTGTGCTTCCACACCACTTTGTAGGCCGGCGGGTTGGAGTTGACGTGGCACTCGAAGTACACGTTGTCGCCCTCCTCGATGTCATTGGGATTGATGCCCTTGCCGAGCTCCAGGCGCAGCGTCGGCGGGACTGCAAGCATCAGAACCATGAGGAGGCTGTCATCACGGAGCAGCGCAGACCGTCAGCTCGAATAGGCAAGGCGTGCCAAATTTGCGAGGACTCGGGCCTTGTTTTGAGCTCCTCCCTGGCCACAGAACTCAACCGAGCACTCGATGGACCAATGGATTTCTAGTCCTCACTCGCTAGGCGATCCACCGTGCCAGCCAAGTGCCCGATTGGAGCCCCGCCTCGGGCAGGACTCGGCTCGGAAACGAGCCCCGAGCTGCGCGCGGCGCGCCCCCACCCCTCGGAACTACTCACAGAACACGTTGAGCTTCATGACGTCCTCCTGCGTGCCGTTGAACACGTGGCCGTTCTCGGCGCGGCACTTGAGCGTCTTGTTGTTGTCGCGCTGCAGCGGCACGAACGTGAGCGTGGACGTGGAGACGTTGCCTTCGTTGGTCTCCTGGAACAGCGAGGCGGCGCAGAGGCGCGGCGTCAGGACAGGGCATCGTGCCGCGGCGTTCGGGCAGGTTCAGGCGCTCATGATCGGGCCTGACGCCAATTTCCGCCGCGGTGCCGAAGTTGCCGCGTTATCGACGTTACTTAACACTGCCTTGACGGCCTCCACGGCCGGCGCCAGGTGCGCCGGAGTGCGGTCGGACGCGGTGTGGCGGCGCGGCGTGATCGCGCCCCGGGCGGCCCGAAGGGAAGCGCGTGCGCCCGGCAAGGCCCGGCAAGGCTCACACCGCAACGGGCCCGCCGGCCAGACCGCCAGACCGCATGTTCAGTCGGACACAGCCCTCAAACGGGACACGAACCGAACGCGTGGTGGCGCCCATGGCGCCCGTGGCACCCCTCGCCCGTTCGATTCGCCGACTGCGGAGCTCATTACAGGAGTCGGGCTACGGGCGGCAGTGCACAGTGGGCTAGAGGACTGGTGGAGGCGGCCAAAACTCGAGACGCGTTTTGAGCTCCAGAGTCGCTAAATGGGTCTCGAACCGAACGCGTGACCCCATCCGACCCCATCAATGGATTGCTCCCAGAGCAAGGAATCCATTAGTGGGGTCACACGCTTGGTTCGAGTCCTGTTCAGCGACTCCGGAGATCAAAACGCGTGTACAATTTTGGCCGCCGACGCCTGTCTTCTGGCCCACTGTGTAGTGCCGCCATGACGTCAATGACGCACCGTGACGCACTCGATAGGGGCGGGGAGTGAAGCTCACTCACTGACTGGGGCAGCGACTGTGGTGGAGCACGGCGGACCGTCGGCGGCCCCACCAACCGGACGGCCGCTGAAGGGCATTTGGGAAAGCTAGGTGGTGCGTAATACCATCGAAGCTCCGCCAGCTGGTCGGGAATTTTCAAGGGCTTCATTTTAGAGCAAGGTCAAATCGGAACACACATAAAACAAAGAGGCATGGGTAGATGAAAGCAAGCTTCGTTACTACCCAAAATTTTGGGGAAACTTTCTACCAAAAGGTTGTTTGTATTTGTTTTGAACGGTCCGACGGCGGGGACGGCGAACCTGCGGCGCCAAAGAGGAGATTAAAAGAAAAGGGACAGCCGCGGGCCAAGTTACGGGCGGCCTCCATTTGCGCGGCCACCGCCAAGAGGCCGCAAACTGTTGCGGCTCTTCTGCACGCCGCACCGGGCCGTGGACCGGGCCGTGGACCGGGCCGTGGACCGGGCCGCGGCCGCCCAGACCGGACCGCCCGACCGGCCAGCCACAACAACTTCAAGCCTACCCACGAAGAGGGCCCTGCTGGGGCAAGGCATCACTAAGGGCCCGAACTGGCCCATCAGTGGCGATGGTGTGTGCGTGGGGCACACAGGCGGCGGTTGCCAGCGTGCCACTTATTGCGGGCATGTATGCCGTCGGGGGCGCCTCGCCGCGGCCTATGACTTCACAGTTGGTGGAACTGCCACGGGCCCGCGCACGGCGCACGGCGCACGCGGCACGGCAGCAGCACAGCCAACCTCTGGGTGCCGCTCGCGCGCGCCGCGCCTCGCCCAGCCTCGCCCCGCTGGCTCCATTGTTACTCCCGGCATGCGCATACCCAGCGCGAATGTTGTGCACGTGATGTGAACAAACCCCCAGTGACGCCGACAACACTGCCAGGAAGCGGGCCCAACCCGGCCCAGCCGCCGGGCAACGCACACGCCAAGCGCCACGCCGGCGTCACGGCCGCGTCACGCTGCGTCACGCGCACGATGCCGTCCGTGGTAATCCCGCGAGGAAACGCCGAGAGACAGGAATAGGCCGGGCTGAAATGTAAGAGACAGGCTGAACGTGCTCGTGACGGTCGTGATGGGTTCGAGGCCGTCAAGCACGCCGCCAGCCACGCCGTCAGGCACGGGGCAGCGCGCTAAGCCGCCAAACATGGCCCGTCAGAGCCTGCGAGAGTCAAGCCTCCACCCGACCTACCTTCCCTCAGACCGGTGGGCTGAACGCGTACACTGGCATAAAGGGAACCTCTTTCACAGCGAGAATGAAACAACAGTCCGGTTTGGAACGGGAAACATGTGCGGCCGATAGTGGCGAAATCCAGCTGCAGTGTCCAGCCACACACGGTCCGACAGTCAAAACATTCCTCAAAAGCAGACCTTCCACTGGCAGCTCCACGCGAAAAAAATCGTCCTCGGATGATGGAGCGAATGGCTCGGCGAATGGTGTGGCCAGTGTTGCGAAACTTCGTCATGCTCCTTCTTGCGGGTCTTTTAAGACTCCAGTTACAGACTGAGACTTGTGGTTGTCACTTGAGAATTTCAAGGCTTATTTCCTTCCCAAATTTTTACCGAATCAGTTGATGACACTTTTGACGCCCATGCGATAAGTATTGGATCTTTCATGAAAATGCCATCAATTCGCGATAAATTTGCCACCATATGAAAGCGATGAAAATGTGAAAATGGCATTCTCTATTTAGTGCGATGAGCGACAGCACTTTATCACAGTGCAGCCACGCTCCCGACCGTTCCAGCGGCAGCCCAGGAACGCCAGGAACCTACCACTTGATTGGCATTGTCTAGCCGCTTGCCGTCCTTCAGCCAGGTGATCTTGACGGGCGGGCGGGAGCCCACCGACTGGCACACCAGCTGCACGGGCTTGTGCGCGGAGAGCGGCGCGCCGTCCGTGGGCAGGATGCTGGTGCTCAGCGGCCTCACTGCAACAGAAGACATTTAGGTCAGACCTCTGTGACGCGCGCACTATCTCGGACTCGATCCCAGACACGGTCTGCCGGCAGTGTAGCGCCGTCAGCGCGGCGCCAAACTAACACTGCTGACGAGCAGGTGAGCGGTGGCCGCGGCAGTGGGGCGTGGGCGGTCGTGGGGGACGCCCCAGTGCCGGCCGTCCCGCGCAAGCCGGGGCGGAGGGACAGGTCAGCACGGCGCGCCTGAGAGCACTTTTATGAGCACAACGTCTAGGGAGAGGGAGAGGGAGAGAGAGCGAGAGAGAGAGAGAGAGAGAGAGAGGAGAGAGAGAAAGAGAGAGAGAGAGAGAGAGAGAGAGAGAGAGAGAGAGAGAGAGAGAGAGAGAGAGAGAGAGAGAGAGAGAGAGAGAGAGAGAGAACCAAGATGACCACGATCGCCAAGAAATATGTAGACAAGTGCCTGCCGCAGTGGTCAATTTGTCCATTTTACAAATGTTTCGATATCCCGTGACCTTTGAGCCGAATCGCCTGACTTATCTCTGTCAGGTTTCCCTGACCTAATTTTGATTCACCGACTTTCCATAATTTCCCTGACTCCGTAACAACCCTGCATCCGCGCTCGTCCCCTCGCTTAAAATTGACATTCGCTTTCGCGTCGAAGTCTGAGATGACGGAACCATTTCCATTTTTTTTTAGACAACCTCCGTTGGCTTGAGCGCGCGCGTGTGTGTGTGTGTGTGTGTCCGTGTTTGCGGCAGCGTCGACACGGGCTGCACTCGTTTGTATCGACAGCATGATCGATTCGACGATGACAGTGCGTTCCGCTTCGCGCCGTCGCCCCGCGTCTCGCCCCGCGTCTCGCCCCGCGTCGCCCCGCGTCGCTTCTCCAGAAAACAGCAGCACAGCAGCCCGGCAGCGCGGCGGGCGAGTTTGCTCTGCACGCTGCCACCACCCGTCCAAACGCAAACACCATTTATTTTCGACGAAAAAAAAGAGGCCGCGATGTGAGATAAAAAAAGGGGAGCAAGTTCGGCGGTGGAATTGTATTTCGGCGAATGCGCGCGGAATGCTTTTAAAAAGGTGAGAAGGACGCTCATCCGGCCAATTCACATTGCTGGCGCTGAGCCACTTGTGTCATTCCCCTGAATGGTCCGCATCCACCATCGCCAAGGAACGCCCCGCGGCCGTATTCCCCTCCCCGCCCCGCCCCGCCCTCTCCGTTTTTACTACCCTTGCCGCTTTACAGCTTTTATACTGCACCAAAAAATGAGCCGATTTTCATCGGTATCATAGCTGCCAGAAACGGAGGGAAGGGGGAGAAAGAAAGGGGAGAGGGCGAAATGGAATGAAAACAACGACAAGCGCCAACAAAACCAACAGCGGAAGTCGGACCAGCCGCTGGTGGGGTGCTTGAGCCGGTGTGGAGCATGCGGACGAATTACGGGGACCTGAATACGAAAAGGTGCAAAGTGGATTCGGCAGGCCGGGGATTTCCGGCGGAGGAGAGCGCCAAGAGGAAAAGGGGGTGGCTGAAGGCGACAGGGATGTCCTTCAGCGGGGCCGGGCAGGGCCGGGCAGGGCGGCGGGCGCGGCGCGAGGCTGGGTAAGCTACTTAGAGGCCTCATGAACAAGAGGGCGCGCGGCACATCGCCGACACTAGGGCGAGGCACTACAGGTTCCAAAGTACGGCCCCCGACCCGATTCGCGGCCACTTACGCCGTGCGGCGTCCCGACCTGCATTGTGCCGCGTCCTTGCCACGTGTCCGTTTGCAACGTACCAACACACTAAAAACTTGTATTGGCGACTTTTACTATGTACCGATAAGTGCGTAGGCTGTGTTTAATATCATTACGTACATTTAACGCATCTTTGTGCACAATACGTACACAAAGGATGCGAAATATTGTGCACGCATGACAAAGACTTCGGTGCGCATGTAACGCTGCTGACTCAAGCGGCAGGCCGGTCCGCACGTGGAGACGGAGCCGAGGCGCATTGCGGCCAGTAAGGGTTCGCGGAAGGTGAGCCGCCAGACCGCGCCACGTGTTCGCGTCCACAAACGGGACTCGAAGCGGCCACGTGGTGTGGCCCGACGGACTGCCCTCCGTGCGAGCAGTCCATTGGCGTGTTTGGTTGTGAGTCCGGCCGCGCGTTGTCCTGGAGTGACCTCGAAAGGGGAGGGGGCGGCCCCCGCGCGGCCCCGGGGGCTTTCGGGAGTGCTGCGCGCCGCGCGGGCACGGCGGGCATGATCCCCTTTGGCCCTCACGCCTCCCCGGGGACGCGGCGCTACGCGGCGCTACGGGTGCGGAGGTGCGGTGGCGAGGGCGGGGGAGGGGAGGCCTCGCGCGGCGGGCCCGGCCGCGTCGAGCGGCACGCCAGTGCAGCAGCGGAGAGCGCCTGCTGGGTAGGCAACGCGCCCGCTCCGGCGTCGGCGAGCTGCCTACCCCCGACTCCGCAGGCGCGCCGGGCCCGCCAGGCAGCAGGGTCGGCACGGCGGCGGGGCGCGGCGGGGCGGGGCAGTCCTATCATACCCTCGGCGAGGGTCAGGCCGGTCCGAATACTCGGCGGCTAATTAATTTATGGAAGTCCTTCCGAGTTGGGGGACGCCCCAAGGCCGGGCCGGCCCGCCCCGCGCCGGGCCACGCACTTGTTACCCGACTTTGCGGTAACTAGCGCCACAAAGGCTATGACGGGCACGCCCTGACACACCGCTCGGCGCGGTGCAGCCCGCGGCGGCGTCAAGGACAAAGCGACCCTTAACTCGAACCCCACATGCCATCTCCGGCCACCTCACTGGCACACGGCGGCCCGCCCGGCCCCAGCCAGCCCAGTTTGGGCGAACGAGATTACGGACGCAGAGGGACGCGTTCAGAGACACGAGGCCCTCGGATGGGACTCGAATCTTCGTCCACCGAGCAAGCGCCGCCTCGGTGGCCGCTTGATGAAGGCCTTGTCTCGTCGGCACCCCAAAGCAAGCTGTTATCGCGTCCGGCGGCGTGGCGGCCGGGCAGAGTCTGTTTGGCACCGCTATCGCCGTGTTTGCATCGGCCTGCTGCACCCCGTGATGCACCCCGTGATGCACCCCGTGATGCACCCCGTGCTGTGCTCGCTGTAGAGCAACCGCACCGGCAGCGGCTGGCCCTTCTCTCCGGACAGCAGCGCACGCCGGCGTCTGGAAGCCCGGCAGTAGTAAAGCAGTTTGTTGTTGCTGTCGCCCCGGTCGCCCCGGTTGCCCCGGTCGATGGCGCTAAGTCTTCTGAGGCCCCGCAGCCTGGCAGCCCCGCAGCCTCGCAGTCGCGGGGCTTAGCACTTGCCGACGCGGCGAGCCTCTGCGGCAGCCTTTGCGGCGAGGGAGAGGAAACGCACTCAATGCCTGCCAGCCCCGCCAGCCCCGACAGCCCCACGGACCAATAGACCCGGGCGTAATTAGTCGTCCCCTTCCTCGTTTTCTTTCAGCCCTCGGCGAGCAGCGCGCAGCGAGCCGGGCTGCACACTCCCACCCGCGGCGGGCCGGGCTGTACACTCGCACTCCCACCAGCCGGGCCGGCCGGTCATCATGCCCTCCCCGTTGTTATGTTGATTCTGATGCGAGCTGCTTTATATGCGGCCGGAAGGGGGAAGGGTGTCGAGGCCGCACGCTGCCCACTGGAATTCGATATATATTGAGGAACGGTTATTCGACACATATTATGCCGCACGCCGCCACTGTGCAGTGTGCGTGCGTGGGCCCGCGCGCGACCGAGCGTGTGTGTGTGTGAGTGTGTGTGCGGCGCAGAAGCGTGCCGGGCGAGCCACCCTCGCGTGCAGAGCAATGTTGGAAGTTTGGAGCGCGGTCAAGTCATGTGTGCGGCGCGGCGGGCGCGTTGTTGGAGCTGGCTGGCCGGCCGGGCCGGGCCCTGAGTGGAATCGAGTCCAACTGGCGGCAGTCGGCGGCAGGGCGAGAGCACGGCCCCCTCGGTCGACCCTCCGGCCGGTCCAGCCGGTGCAGCCGTCCCCGCGACGAGGGCCCCGCGGATTCTTTACAGCCAAAGGGCTGTGAGAGCAAGGGCAGTAAAGGCGCCGTCTTGGCCATCGTTCCGCTATGCAAGCTTGTTCCCTCGGAAGTGCCTAGCCATGCAACCCTTCCCCCTCCCCTCCTACTCCGAAATGCTCATCTGAGATGAGCCTGAGACAGAGACGAGGGCCCCATTACCCTTATTGGCTGCCTCCGCGGCTCAAACGCCACGTCCGTCTCAGGACTGGCGCACGGTACGCAGCAACGCAGCACAAAACGACACATTCCAAAGTCCAATCCACTCCGCCCAGGCCCAGGAGGCCTTCTTTGCGGAAAACGTCCAAACGGGGAAAACAGAAACTGCGCGAGGCGTTTCGAGACGGCCGGCCGGCCGAAAGTGGCGAGGCGGCCGAGTCAAAGGGGCAAGGCGGGCGAGGAGCGGCGAGTTGGCTGTGAAATCAATCACGGAAGGAGGGGCCAAATAACGAAGCCTCCCCGGCCAGTGGCGGCGGCCTAATCGCCTTTGTTGCCGAAATTATCGGCCGGTTTAAAATGCAGCACAAACAGTGATTAGGCGGCGCGAGCAAGGCGGGCCCTCGGCTGGGCGGCGAGGCGGCCAGCAAGGCGGCTGCCAACGGAAAACTAGCCAAATGTTACGGTCGCCCTGAATAATAATGGATCGCCGATAATAAAGGCGGAAAGGCGATGAAAATTTCCACAGGATTACTCCCGTCCCGACTCCCGACGCCCGAGTTAAAGACGGGCCGGCTGCCCGCCGCCAGAACGGGGTCAGCGGGAGAAGACTGAAACCGTAAAAAAATAAATAATGGGTAACGGGAGGGTGCGATTAGCTAGTGGCGTGCAGATTAGGAGTCGGAGAACTAATTAAAAGTCGCCGGTGAAAGTGACGCGTGATTTTTGGAGGGGGCAGCAGCGGGTCGCACCGGGCCACACGCCGGAAATTGGGCCATTAGACAGGAGAGACGGCGGCACGCGCGGCACGCCACTGCGAGGCCT